GTCATATGAAACATTATGATGATTTCATCATGTTTCATATGACTTATGAAACATTTTGGTGATTTACTTTATTTTCTAACCACAGGAACAGTAAAATGTGGTGACTTGCAAAAAGGTAACGCAAGTGATGAAACTTGCAAAATAGATACCACAGGTGTTGTGACTTGCAAAAAGGTATCACAAGTGATGAAACGTGCATAAAATATTTGATAGACGGCTCTGGATTACCTTAACGTGGTGTCTATTGTTAAAATGATTATGATATAGTTTCATTACTGGAACTTTAATTTTTAATCATTTACTAAGAGCCAAGACAATGCTAAGTAACTAAATACATCCTCTGTGTAATTCAAAACTATTTCTTATTAAGGAGAAATTTATTACTTCTTTATTTTAAAACAGTCATAATGTTCATATGATTTATTTTTTTAACTAAACATTTTTTTAAAAAGAACTTTGCTATTTGATTTTGTTTTTTTGGTTGTTTATTTACTTTTTTTCTAGTTTAGCATTTTATTTTGGCAATTCTTAAAATTTATGTTTTGTTCATAAAGTACGTCAAACTAAATTTATCTTCTAAATAGATGATCATTTGCTCGTTTGCGCATAGATTTTCATTCAACATAAAACACTATTGAATCTCTGCGTGGAAGCCAATAATATTTAAAAAGTCGTTAAAGCAAAAAGTTGAAAAAGGAAAAGACTTTGAAGCAAATTTTTTCTTCACCTTATTTTTTAACCCTCCGTCGGGCGCAACTGATCTAACAGGCACATGCTTCATTCATTTGTAACTTTCTCTACACCGGAGCACATTTAATTCTAGAACTTTCTAGTAATTTCCTGTTTTTATAAGACTTTCAAAACTCTGTTACTAAATTACTTTTCAGATAACAAAAAGAGTATTAATTGACCTGTGTGTTCTGATAGGCTCATTGCGCCCGATTAAGTCATTTTATTCAAGTAGGTATTTTTAAATTTTTTTTTTTAGAATTATTTAATTTGCTCATTTTAGACTAGTAATATTAAACTAAATCTGCGTATTTGATAAAAATGAATAGAAAATCTCAAATGGCCTAACATGCACATTGCGCCTAATTATGTCATAATTTATTTTTTAAAGAAAAATTTAATGGCGTCTCAATTTGATGAACTAAGGACGTTACTTGAGGAAGAATTTGAAGAAGAACCCGCACAAATAGACAATTTCGCAGAAGAAAGTGATATCGACTCTGAAGATGAAGTTGAGCAATGCATTCTTAATTCAGAAACTGAGCAATCTGAAAACGAAATAGAAGATGACAAAGAAGAAGGAAACTTTTTTATGGGCAAAGATAAAAAAACAGAGTGGCTAAATAAACCACTAAAAAAAGTCAGTGTTGAAAGTCACACAACATTTGCATTCATCTTCCAGGAGTTATTGGAAATGCAAAAAATGCAAAAACTCCATACTAATGTTGGAATAACTTTTTTACGGATAATATAACTGAACTAATTGTCACATACACAAATATTTCTATTGACTCTGTAAAAGATAGGTGCGACAGAGAGATATTAAATCCACTGACATAATTGTGGTAAGAAGGTGATGGAATTGAAAAATTCAGTCTTGTTATGAGTCTCAAACGGTTTAATACACTTATTTGTTATCTTCGTTTTGATGATCGAAGAACTCGAAACCAAAGAAAAGAAAACGACCGCCTTGCTCCAGTTCGAATAATTTTTGAAAAATTTGTTGATAATTGTCAGAAAAATTTTAGTCCAGGGGAAAATCTTACTATTGATGAAATATTTCCGGAATTTTGTGGTAAATGTCAGTTTCGGCAATACATACCCTCAAAACCAAACAAATACGGTATAAAACTTTATAGTCTAGTTGATGCAAGAATGTTTTATACTGTCAAGATGGAAATTTACGCTGGGCAACAACCACAAGGCCCTTTTTATTTTAGCAACAAACCAAGTGATGTGGTGATGAGAATGGCTGAATCTTTATTTGGATCTGGTTGAAATATAACAGCAGATAATTGGTTTACTAGCTTCGATCTTATAGATAAATATGTCGGCACTGTCAGAAAAAATAAAAAACAGTTGCCAATTGCATTTATAAATGTCAAAGGTAGAAAAGCAAACACAAGCTTGTTTGGTTTTAATAATGATAAAGTTTTGGTCTCTTACATCCCGCGCGAAAGAAAGAACATCATTCTAGTTTCAAGTTTGCACAATGATGATGCCATTGACCCTCAATCTGGAGAGCAAATCAAACCGGAAATAATTACTTTTTACAATCTTACTAAGTGTGGAGTTGATGTAGCAGATCAGATGTGCGCTTCTTATAATGTGAGCCGAAACACCAGACGGTGGCCTACGGTAATTTTCTATACAATACTTAATGTTGCAGGCATCAATTCACATGTAATTTACATTGGGAATAACCTTGAAAAAAAAGGAGAAGGTTATTTCTAAAAGAGTTTTTAAATGAATTGGTATTGGAACACCTACAGAGAAGAAGCATGAACACAGTTGGAATACCTAATAGTCTACATATTAGGATGCAAAGATTCCGCCAAGAATTGATCAAAAAAAATCACAATCTCCTCCAGCTTCTAAAAAACGTAGATGTGTCATGTGTACTTAAGAAACCGGTGTAAGAAAGTTGTCTCGATACAAATGTCGAAAATGCAACCAATCTCTTTGCATGTGTCATCAGGTTTTAGTCTGTCAACCATGCTTTTCTTTGTGCATATGCTTCAATTTAAGTCAACATGAAATATCTAATTTAGAATAAATATGATTTAAGTAACATTATTGTGACTTACAAATAGACTATTTTGAAAAGTGTTGATGTTTAATAATAATAATGTATATGGCTATTTTGAAACTAGATTGTTTTTTGTTTTTTTACTTAAATTGTAATACTACTTAGTATTTGATGATTAAAAACTTTTTTTTATAAAACATTTAAAATTCTATTTATAAACATCCCTCTAAAGGTTAGTAATTACTTTTGGATGGTTTATTATATTATGGGTTGTTAAAAACAACACTTTAAAACTCTGTGTCTAATACGCACATTGCGCCCAATTTCATGTGTTTTAATATTGCGCCCGACGGAGGGTTAACAAAACAGCATGGTTTTTATCTTTACTTTTCAAAACATTTTTTGGTATTGAGGTGATCTTATTTCATTATTTATATTTCCATTATAACATCCAATATATATTATGGCGGGGGCTTAAAAATTAAAAACTTAATATATATTAATTTTTATTTTACAGACATACATGGAAACATAATTAACTTTAATGTTCTTAAAACATCTTGTGGAAGAATAAAAAGAATATTCGCAAACACTAAAAACCTGCCAAACTTGCGAACAAACTAATTCTATTGATTCAAAAAACACGCTGACTAAGCGAAATAAAGTTCTAGAGTATTCTGTTGAAATGTTTTAGGAATTGTATTATTTCAATTTGTTGCATTTTGAGATATCTAGCATAAATTTTTTTAAGAATATATTATCAAATGAACTATTACTTTAATATTATGGTTCACATCTGTAAAGCCGTAAAACTTTTAAACTATTATCATTATATATATATATATATATATATATATATATATATATATATATATATATATATATATATATATATATATATATATATATATATATATATATATATATTCCAATAATGCACGTTTTATGCATATTGGTCTAATTTTTTTAGCAAAATTCATTAAAATGTTTATATTGATTGTTTATTACATAATAATATTCTTTATTACATAATCAACTTGACAAGTCAGATAACTCTTATAACTTGTTATAAGTTGTAATCTAAATTCAAACATGATAATCAAATGATTTAAATTAATGGCGAGGGGTGGAATAGTGAATGCATTGAAAAAATAATACAAAATTTATAGTTATGATATTAAATGTTAGGTAAATTTAAAATTAGACTAAAAGTATTTTATTTTATTTTTACTTAGTAGGCTACTTATAAGTTTTATATGAAAACATTAAAAACTAAATTTCAGTTTTTATATATGTATGTTTAGTGGTATGTTTGGGCATTCATACATCAGACATAAAACCAGACAAATTATGTAAGGAGAAGTGTTCAATTACAATTTTTTTCTAAGTTCTAAAAAAAAAATGTGCATGTAAAAGTAAATGGAAAGGAGAGGGGGAGGGGATAGTAAAGAACTAGGGTATTTAAAACTGAGTTGAATTCAGGCTTGATTAAAGACTTATTTCTAGCACTGATTATAAAATACTTTTAAACTCATACATACTTTATATTACAATATATAATACAAACTAAAGTACAACAATAACTTTATTTTTAATGTTTTTAATGCATTTTGGGCAATTTTCAATGTTCTGATTTTTTAACTCCCCTAAGTACCCACTATTTTTTTTCTGAAATCACTGTAATAAAGTCTATTAAACTAAAAGAAAAAAAAATCTTATTAAAACCAATGTTGATCCTAGGTTACCTGTGATATGAAGTGGAGGAACATTTTCCTAAGTTTAAGCCGCAGCCATTTTTAGAAATCTATAATTTTTTACTGAATTGTATCTTATCAGTAAATTTCTGAAAATTTGGAAGCCTACCCCATATAAAGAAACTAAAAAAAAAATGTCTTTTTACTTCTTAAACTGCAGGTTTTGTATATTGACTCATCAAAAATCAAATATTTATATTTGCAAACATTTTTTTAGGTTTTTTAGGTAGCCATTATAGAAAAAATATGACATTGGAGAATTAATGTCAAAGTTTTGTTAAAGTAAGTCTAGAATCGTATACAATAAAAAAAAAAAAGGTTTTCTGAAATTTTGTTTAATTATGTTTCCAATTATATATAAAGCCTTACAGTAATTCAGACATTTATGAATTTCTGAGATTTAATTTTTGGTATAAATCGAAGTTTAACAACTTGAGCATTTTTTAAGTTTTTATAAAAATCTAAAATAAAAAAAACATATAACTTACTTTTTAATTTGACAGTTACAATTTCAGAAGCATATCCAGCAAGATTTTTTGCAGTACATTTATAATCACCAGCGTCTTTTTCATCAATGTTTTTAATATAAATATATACTCGATTAATATGTAGGTCATCTTTTATGCTATATTCATTTTTAAAGGAGACATGATCTGAAATATTTCCTTTCACACGTTCCCAAAACAATGAAAATGAAGATGGAGATTGACTGTCACAATAGGCAGATGCATGTCCATTTTTTATAACGTCTAATTTATTAGTTTCCACTGTTACAGGACTTGGCTTGCCTGCAAAATTATATACACAATTGCTTAAAGGTTTAATAAAAAATAAAGAAAATTTTCAATTATAAATTCCATGGCAATCTAAAAACAATTATCTTTATATGTAATTGTTTATATAAAACACAAATTAATTATAGTTTGAATCCTCCTCATTTTGAGCTGTTTATAAACTTGTCATAAATTTAATGTAATAACTTTTGAACGCTAAGAGCTTGAGTAAAATTTATAAAAAAATAATAGATTGTTTTAAATTTATCTTGTATATTTTTCGAATATGACAGAATTTTACCAGCTAAGATAAACTAATAAAATACAACATTTTGAAAATGTTTATGGGCCAAAAAAAAAAATTACATCAATTATGGACTTTAACCAAAATATCTTAGTAAATTAAGTATTTAGCAGTATTTTTTATACAAATTATACTTAGCTAGATTTATGCATTTTCTCTATTTTATATTTTTTATTTGCTAGATTACTGTCAACGGGGGTGACTATGAAAACTTTTTAAACATTTTTGCATAATATGAGAAAACTGTTAGCCTAATTGCTACCTTTATACTACTCAGCTTCCTGGAAAAACCCAGAGCAGATTAACGCTATGCAGTAAATACCTTAATTTTTTTAATTTATAAAAGCATTTTCATAATTTTAAAATGCAGTGAGAACGAACAGCCAATGTGCGGTGACTTTGAACACTACCTAACGCTTTTTCTTAGATTATCAATAATTAGCACATTTTAAAGGGGGAAAACACAGTTAAAGATCAAAAAGATAATAAAAAATCCATTTTAGTATGTAGTAAAAATTTTTATTTAAATATAGTTCATGTGAAAAATTTACATTCTCAGTTTAAAACCTAGTTTTTTAAACAAATTAACATATATCACAATATTTACAAAGCTGCCTACATAAAACAAAACAGCAACCATAAATATCCTTTAAGTCTTGAGGACTTAAAAATTGACTTCATATGCATCACATATGCTGCATATAAAGTCAATATTTTTAATATCAAGCTCATAATAAACATCTTTTTTATAGACCACACTGATAGTAATAAGGTTAGCTGCATTTATTGCATTTAACTCCACCCGTTTTGTGTTTTAGAAACTACAGCACCAATCACTATCTTTATCATTATGCTTTTGTGAACTTGATGGCATTATTTTAACAATGAATTCTTTTTCCTGGTTGTACTTTTTAAAAGTGGAACCAAACACATGTTCCAAAAATCTTTTGGAACATGCGCTTTTTGTATTGAAAGTAGATTGTGTCCAAGCCTAAACTGAAGCCAAAGCTGTAAACAAACCCAAACTGTTTTTAAAATATCTAATAAAATTCATGTTACAGTGTTTTCACCACATAAACCTTCATTTTCCTGGAAGACATTTTATCACCTCTGTTTTGTTTATAAGGTAAGTTCCTGTTGCTCAAAATCCAAAAATTAAAGCTTTTAGACAAAAAGTTGTATTTAACTTGTTTAAAAGCGTAGTTATGTGTTCTTTTTGGAACAGCCTCTTTGATACAACTTTTTCTTCTTCACTTTGAATTAATTCTCTTGCACAGCTATTTTACTCCTCTATATACAGCAAGATCTAGTGGTTGGCAGAGATGGATTGCATTTGGGGTCCATGTTATAAATTTGATGTCATTTTAAATCGTTGCTTCAATAACTTCAGAAGAAAAATTATAACCATCATAACCACATATCAGCGATGTTGTGTCAGTTTTTGAAATAGGTAACTATACCTCCATAAGCCATCTGGTAAATGTTCTACCATCAAACCTAAAATTAGGAGTAATATTGTATACAGTTCTAGGTGGTCCATCTTGAGTCCAACCCTTTTTAAAGATTCTTTGCTTGTAAATAACCATGGACGGCAAAAATACTCCAACAGTGTTACTAGTAAACATTATACAAGCTGTCTGCTTCAAATGCTCCTAACACAATGTCCATGGCTATTACAAACAATAGAAGGTTTGTCCACGATGTTTTTTTGGAACTTAATTCCCAAGTTTTATTTATTTATGTAGTGTTCCTAATAGAATGTTTAAATATTTATCGCAGCTTTCCTGATGGTAAATTTATGTTGTTGTTTTTTTTTTTATCTGTTGGTATTCCCGAAGTTTTGAATATTTTTTCAATTTATTCTGCAAATTACACATTATCAACTTCAATAATTATTCTACTTGTGAAGTCATATAAAAAATCTATTAATAATCCAGATAATTACCGTGGAATTAGTATTAGCTATCCATGCCAAACTTTTAGAATATCTAATTTTACTTTTATGTCCTAGTATTAAAGATATTAAAGAAGCCATTCCCATCAGTTTGGTTTTAAAAAAAATTGCTCTACGCTCCACGCAGAATTTTTATTGAACGAAACCATTAAACACTGTAATAACAATAACACGCCTTTATATATGTGTAGTCTAGATGCAAATAAAGCGTTTGATACTTGCAACTGGGATTTGCTATTTTAGAAGCTTTATTTCCAAAAAAAACTTCCTTTATCTGTTGTACACGCAATCACATCGCTTTATCGTTCTGGTACTGCAAATATATCTTATCAGGGAGTTACCTCAGATCAATTCAGTTTGTCACAAGGGGTGCTACAAGAGTCTATTTTATCGCCATATTTATATAGCATCTATACTGAAAATATCTTAAATGAAATAGTCTCAGAATGTAAAGTAGGGTTGACGATAAATGGCATCTATACTAGTGTCATTGCATACGCAGATGATGTAATTTTGCTAAGTCCAACAATCTCTGGTCTGCAAGAACTGATTGACAGATTTCAAGCATATGGCATATTAAACTTTATCAAGCTAAACACTGAGAAAACGGAACTTTTGATCTCTGGTAAAAGTTCAATTTCCAACAACATTATTCAAATTTACGGAACTTATATACATCTCCGAAATAAATCAAAACATCTGGGTTTCCAATGGGATAACGATACCAACAAAAACAAAATCGCAACACTTCAAAAAACAAATCTAAATGAACGTATAACGCAGTTTCAATCGGTTGCAATAGCTCTAATTGACAGTGGAATTCGTTTTTGTCAGCCGTCAACAATATTCCATTTATACAATACCTTGACAGTGCCGAAGCTTATATATGGCCTTGAGCTATGCAACTATGACATTAGTTTTCTAAGAAACATAGATGCTGTTGGAAGAAGAGTTTTAAAATCATTTTTTTTTTGTATTTCAAAGTATAGCAAAAATTACCTACATTCTTTTTTTAAAATAGAAGATGTTTCAACTACTCTTCTTTGAAATAAAGTAAATCTATTAATTAGGCTAATGAAAAATCAAACTTGCTATTCGCTGATAATTAGTCAATTACTGGCAGCACAAAATAAAAAATCATTTATAAATGAAGTGATTGCTATATGTAAAACTCGTGGCTTGAACATCTTTCAATGCACGATAGAAGGTAAAAAAAATAAGTTCACACTACCTCAAGAAGAACTGCAAGCTGATACTATATCAATATTAAAAGAAGCGTTCCAATTATGGAACTTAAAAGAACAAAGAGAAAAATTTTAAACATTGATGGAGGAGAATATTCCTATAATAGACCAATCCGTCTAGTCGGTCTAGTTATTGGCATTAAAGATAAATGTTTGGAGAGCCAAGACTGGCCTTTTTTTAATTTGTAATTGTTTTAATATAAATTAATTTACCTGTAATTTTATTGCTGGGTGTTTAAGAAAAAATAATAACATATTTTAAATTTCTGCCGACTGAGATTTTTTTTTTTTAAAAAAAAAGGTCCTCGTTAGCTAACATTTGCCGACTATTAACTACTAATCCAATTTTGCCAACTCCAGTGACCAAATTTGCCGACTAATTAATTTCCTAGCAGGATTAGATACCCCTACGCCCTCTTCGGGACGGCTATTGGTAATTTTTTCACTTTTTCTATCCATTCTATGTTTAAATAGTGAATTGAGTTTAAATATAGGATTTTAAATGACGAAAACGTTAATAATCTTTTTTTAACGCAGTTATAATTGTATTACTGTAGCTAGAATTTTTCTCGCCAACACCTAACATTTTTTCTACACCTAACATTTTTCTCGCCTACAACCAACATTTTTCTTGCATACACCTTACATTTTTCTCGCCTAAAGTACAATGCAGAACAGAAATAAGATTAAAAATGTTATTTTAAAAAAAATTGAATAAATATGTGTGTTTAGATAAAATACATGAATAAATACTGAGAAATATAATATTAAGAAAGATTTTCATTTTATCTAAATTTAAGGTTAAAGTTAGAAAGGTCTTAAGTTAAAATTTAAATTATTTAAGCTAAAAATTGACAAAAAAGCATCATACATAAAGCATAAAAATAAAATATCCTGACGGAATGCTAGAATATCCAGACGGAATAAACAATCTCGAAGCTTTATAACTTAAAATCAAAAAATGATATTGAGATTTTTTTTTCCAGCTACTACATACTATAATTAAAAAAATGTAAAACGAAAGCCATTTAAAAAAACTCTAAAGAGTTATTCTTAGTTTTTTAGTTTTTTTTCAGAACAAAATAAAAACTGCATAAAATCGGAAATCCACTTTCACTAACTACTGATAAATATTAGAAAAAAGACCACCGAGGTATACTGCTGCTAAAATATATAAATTTAGTGCTATAATGTTGCTAAAATATATAAATTTATTATACATAAATATAATACTACTGCAAGCATTTATTAGAACCTATAAATATTATTTAATTCCTATAAAATAAAAATTTTGATATAATAAAACCTTGATATAATAACAAAATGAATAAAAAATATTTTTTCTATCTTACTTATTATGTTAATATCATACGTCGACATCAGTTGATTATCCAAAACTCCGTTTTTCAAAATAATGACGTTACATTCCCAGATTCCTCTGTCAGTCATTTGGGTGCTTCCAATTTTTATAGAACTTTTACCACTTACTATTATTCTTGAATTTGTATATGTTGGAGGGCGGTTCTTTTTATTATTAAGCGAATCATTACTATAAACTGTACGTAAAGTTTTGTTTTGTGGGGCGGTTTGCCAGATTACACTTACAATTGTTTCGTTTATATGACCGCATTCAAGCTCAACCGCTTCATTTAACGGAATATCCATTTTGATTGACGCTAAAATAGTTTTTTAAAACTTTTTATTGATCTTAAAGTATTAATATTATCAAGACAATAAGCATAAAATTGTACTTTCTTATAAAACAGTCATTTTATTAGTTTATTGAACAGTTACATTTATTTTAAATGATCAAACTTATGCATAAGAGGAGTGACTAAGTTAAGTGAAGTAATATCGCTGAAACTCTTTTCCTTGCAACTCCTATAATATTACATAAACCAAACTACAAAAATAAATTAACCCAAAACAAAAAATATATAGATTTATCACTATTATTACTATTTTTATTATTATTTTTATTTCGTTATTAAAAAAAAAGATTACAATACCGTATTATTTAAATAAAATCTTCATGACCGGGCCTAAAAGAAGACAATATTTTCCTTATCGCTACGCCCCGAAGTGCTTTTATCAGCAAGTATGTACAACCATTAAAGGTAAACATACAATCACTTTGTACCATTTAAAAATTATATATAAATATTTACAAGTATGTTAAGATCAGTTACTAATTTATAATCAAAAGAAAATCGTAAAAATAAAAAAAAAAATTAAAAAATGAATAAATATAAAAAAAAAATAAAAATAAAATAAATTAAAACTATTGTTCTCTGAAAGCCTTAGGATTTTTTGTACGAAGATATTCGGAAATTTTAAAATATGGACAAGATCAGGTTTCTAAAGTCTCTCTTTTAGTTCTCAATAATATTTGGAAAGAGTGGTTTTCATTTTTTTTTTTTGCCATTGATTGATTGTTTGTGGTTTGGCATTCTTTTTTCTGCTTTCCCTTTTGTGCTCATGGAAAATTTATTACGCGTATTTGTCGACATTGGTTTGCGTTTATTTACAAAGCTAGATATCGTAGAAATTAAATTAATTAGTTTTGTGCATAAAATAGTATAAAAACTAAAAGTATAAAAACTAAAAAATATATAAAAAATCTAATATGTTACGTTTAAGTGTCACTATTTTTTTCTATATCTTCACTTCCAACCAGGCTGCAAGAAACCACTATTAGAAATGGAAGTTATTAGAAGAAAAAATAGGAAGTTTATAGAGCATGATAACGATTGACATACGACTTCAAAGATTGCAAATTATATGAATTAGAAAAACAAGATCAAAGAACGCGAACATCTTGTTTTTCTAATTCATATAGTTTAAATATAAACCAGAGAACTTATTATGTTCGAGGAAAAAGACTAGGAAAAAAAGGATGAGATTTAATTAAATGACGAGTAACACGAGAATGAATTTTAGTAGATTACACTAGAGATATTAACTCTTTAGAGCATACCCATTATAGTATTTATAAAAAAGAGAAAGTGAAGCAACATTACGACAATATGATAATGGTTAGACTTTGGCTGCAAGAGCAGGTCCAACAATGTTTATAATACGTTTTTGCACCTTGTTTAAAAGAGAAAGAGCATCAATGAAAGAACCGCCTTAGATATGGCAACATTATTCCATACAAGGAGGGATTTGAGATTTATAGAAATAAAGAATAGAATTGGAAGTAAAAAATTGACAAGCACAATAAAGAGATGCAACCTTAGCAGGTGTTAATTTTGCAATTGGTTTCATATAAGGCTTCTAAAAAAGATTGGAAATAAGAGTTAACCACAGAAGATAAAAGTTGGATGATTCATCAAGTACATTACCGTTTATGAATATAGGAAGATCTAGAAAACATTTAGTTGAAAAAAATTGAGTTTTATTTGAGTTAAAGTTCATTAACTACTTAGAACCCCATCCTGTGGCAGAAGCGAGATCCTTTTCAAGCTCAAATGCCCCTCCAACCAATCAGAGAGTGTTGGCTTCTTATTCTTAAGACAAGAATAAATGGCAGTATCATCAGCAAACAATGCAATCTTAGATTTGAGAATTTCTGGAAGACTGTTAATGTAAATTAAAAAGAGTATAGGGCCAAGGATTAAACCTTAAAAAACCCCTGAAGTGACATGATTTAAAGAAGAGTGCTATCCATCGAGGACAACCTTAATACTACAATTGGTTAGGAACAATTCAATAATCTTAAAGATGTTACCTAATACACTGTAAGAAGAAAGCTTATGGAGTAGACCAACATGCCAAATTTTATCAAAAGCTTTAAAAATGTCGAGAGCTATAGCCTTAACCTCTCTACATCTATCTAATGCACGAAAGAATATATCGGTTATTACTTTTAGCAAATCATCTGTAGAACGAGAAGATCAAAATCCATATTGATGATCAGAAAGTAAGTTATTAGATTCAAGATGAGAGATTAAGTGTTTGTTAATTAAATATTCAAAAAATTTGCTTATAATAGAAAGTAGACTAACGGGACGGTAGTTCAATAAGTTGGATTGTTCTCCAGAGATTTTGAAAATAGGGATAACAGATGCCGCTTTCTAGTATACCAGAAAACAAGACTCTGATAAGCGCTAATTGAATAGTTTTGAAAGCATAGACGACAGTTCCTGAGAACAATTCCGCAAGACTATAAAAGATTTGTTTTCCTGACCACAAGTTCTATAAGCCGGAAATCAATTTAGATATAGAAGCAGGAGTGATACGAATGTCAAGGAATAAATCAACCTGTTTGTCGGTTATATCAGGTAGAACGCAACTAGTGGCACCAAGAGATAATATAGATGAAAGGTTCGTAGTAAACAATTCAGCTTTGTCTGTAGGTGAGGTGACAAATTTGAAACCATACAAGAGAGTTTGAATAACAGGTTTGCCCTTATTATTGATACTGTTAAAGATTCTCCAGAAGTCACGAGAGCCTAATTTTAGAGATGAAATACGAGATTTTGTGGCCTAAAAATAGCGGTCTTTGGCGTTAGACAAAACCTTTTTACAATAGTTTCTAGCATCACTAAACTGACCTCTGTTCTCTGGAGAACTGTTTTACTGATAGATATGAAATTAATACTTAAAATGGGAACTTGCAGTAGAAAAATGAGAAAACAACCTCAGAAAAGAGTGAGGCTTTACTTGGAATTGTCGAGAGGAAATAAAAAATTCATGCCAGCCTGAATCCAAGAAGTTACATAAGAAGCACTTAAGGGCTATCGCGTAGAAAATATTATGTGATTAACTCAACAACAACAATATTGGCTGAAGGATAAAGAAAAAAAGTTTTGTCAAATCGATCAGAAATAACATCGAAAAGAGTGTTGTCTTGAGATGAAAGAGAGAAATATAGAACAAAGAATATTAGTGAATGATAGATTTAGAGAACTTGGTGATGACGATGTTTTTTTTGTGTTTTATAGTTTTTGGTACTTTAGCTATTTTTGAATTTGCTAAAATAACTTGACTTAAAACACAGATAGTGCTCAATACACTATTTAATAGCCTAAGCCTCATTACTATTATAAACCCTAAGCCGCAACAAAGGGCTATAAATGTGGCCTCAACAATGCACACTAAAAGTACCAACAGGGACATTATCCATGCACAAAATTGCACTGTTGGTACTCTTATACTTTTCAGCTGCTGATGGAATCGGCCTCTCTGAGAGTTACCACAGAGTTCAGAAAACCTGACTACCAGCCGGCCTCAAAACTGTAAAAACTTTTAAAACTGTACCCTCATTAGGAGATAATATAATGAGTTGCCTATTCATAAAAAATAAACTTAATAATAAATGAGATTTAATGGTAAAATCCAGAAAAGTTAGAAACTTTCATAAGAAAATTAGTCTGATGAAAATATGTTTTAGATGCTTCAACCAAATTTTTAGTTTGTTATTTTAAAATTAATAAATTAAAAACAATTGCAACATTTAATAAACTTAGGGTGAAATTGTTGCAGTGACTTATAACTTTCAGAAACTAAAAAATTATTAGATGAAATTTAATATAAACTTGTCGATTAGAATGTATTTAATTTAAAATAGTAAAAATAAAATGCAGTACTTCAATGCTAGTACATTTGGGATTAGCGAGGCACTAGTTTGGGGTCTTCTTGTTTCTAGGCTTCAACCATTACAATTTTTTTGTATGGTATAGTTGTTTGATATGAACACAAGCATACCCAAGTTTTAAATTTTGTTTAAATATAAATATAAACTGTCGTGATCTGAAAGGCCTTATGATCTTTTATATAATTTGTTTATGTGTTAAGTAAGACATTTTTTCATACGTTTTTCAATGACTTTAAAATGTTATATTTGTTAATTTTCTCTGTTATTTTTATTTTATATTAGACAATGTAATATATATTTATTAAAAATATATAATTATTGTAATATATAATTATTACACTAATAACATTTAAACGATATGTTGATGCCATGCACGTTTTTCTAACTCTGATAAAGCAGAATCGTTTTTTACTTTTTTAAATTTTGAAGACAAAGTTATTCAATACACAGGCGAATACCAAAATAATCAAGATCAACTTAATTTCTTAGATGTTTGCATTTCAACTAATCATATAACTCAAAAATATAACTTTTCTATGTGCCGCAAGAATGCGATAACGATTGTACTTGTAAAACCGCAATCGTGTATATCACCATATATTGCAATAGGGATATTTAAAGGTTTTCTTGCAAGAGCTTATAAATTATGTACTAGTGATATAGAAAAATAATTTGAGTTCCAAAATTAATTTTTTTATAAAAAATTCTAAACATTGTAAAGGATTACAAACCATCCCAACTAAAAAACCGCGAATAAATTAACACAGGCAATACTTCCTAAAAAAATTGGATTCCTAAATTAAACTTTATTCATAGACGTGAGTTTCGAAAAGTTGGCTTAAAAACAGTTTTTTGTTTTGGAAGATCTCTACTGAACATATTATGCCGAAATAAATCAAAGCTACCATGAAACAGTTACCCGGGTGTTTGCCAACTTGAATGTACATGTGGCGCTATTTATGTGGGTGAAACCAAGAAAAAGATTAAAACACGAATAGCTGAACATCAAAAAAACGTGAGTAAAACAAATTGGAAAGCGTCTGGAATTGTTGAACATGCACAACATTGCAAAGGTAT